GATTCTCAAGAGGATGATCTGTGGTATATTGGTGATTAAGTACCAACGTGTAAAGCCTAAACCTGTGTGGAGTCACCCTGGTTGGTTGTGAGTTTTCACCCACTCATCCAAACAGGAGTAAAATGACTGTACTGAAAAAAAATTAGTGTTTCTTACTGGGAACTCTCTTGAGGCTTGGTTGCAGCTCTTGAAAAAGTGGTGGCTGATGGGGCAGGGCTTGGCCTCGTGCCTGGCCGAGGCTCTGGGGTGGTGGAGTGCTCTTTGGGGGCAGCCCAGATGACTCAGGAGCCCACGTTTCAGCACAGCCACCCGAGTGCCTCGGGTGACAACCTTGATGCTCTCAGACGTCTCACAGAAAGGCGACAGTGCTGGGACTAGGCACAGAGGAGGTTTTGTTCTCTTCTCACCTTTCTCTTTTGGGCAGCCCCCCCTCCCCCTTCCTTCTAAATCATTGTCTTAGCTTGATTGAGTCTCAGATTGAGTCCCCTGCTTGCCTTGAACAGCTGGAATGGCTCTGGACTGAATGAAGAGACCCCGAGTGAGACTGGGCTGGACCCTGGAAGGATCTCAGGCTCCAGAAGGAGCAACCTGGCTGTCTCACCTGCCATGCTGCGAGCTGGGCACATTTAGCACCACCCCAGATGGATGTCTGCAGCCTGGCACTGGGACTGTGGCTCCTGCTGCTTCTCCAGGATATCCAGTCAGCCCCACAGGTAAGGCAGCATGATCCTGCAGCCCCTCGGGGCACAGGAGCCTGGGGAGGTCTGGGGACACCTGGGGCTGCAGAGGTGTCCTGCCTGGGTGGTGGGGAGTGGGTGTGCACAGCAGCAGGGTTTGTGCTGCACAGGGAGAGAAAGGGATAAAGCAGAGCTGCCAGGGGAGTTTGCTTCTCTGGGAACTCTGCAGGCAGAGCAGGGGATAAGAGCTGTGATCTGCATCTTGCTGGCATTGCCAGAGCTGCAGCAGCTCCAGGCACATCACAGCTAGGGAGTGAGGAAAGATTTGCCAGGGGTGGGGGACTGTTCTCTTTTTTTTTTGTTTCTTTTATTTCTACCTGGATATCCAGGTGCTCTGACAGGCACGTTCCTTGCAGAGTTTGGTTCAGAGAGCTGCTGCTCACCCTGCTGAGGCAAGTCAGGGGTGGCAAATTGAAAGGTCAGAAGCAAAACAATCTACCTTTCTCTTTACAACCCCTACTCCTATGGCACTTGCTGCCTCATGCATCCACTCTTATTTCTGCATCAAAATCACTTAAAATAGACATACCCCACTAGCTGCACTCAGCTGATGCTGTAGGTGCATGTTAGCTCCCTGCTCAGATCAAATCAGCTCTTGTGGGTTTGCTTCCACCCCCACACTGCCACTTACCCCCTCCCCTCCTGCTGTGGATCACGTGGCAATGAACCCTCGGCCCCTGGCATAAATCCAGGTAATTTCCTTGTCTGAAACTTTAGCATGCACATTAACAAAAAAAAAAAGGTCAGTCTGTTGCAGAGACTTTGCACAGGTAAAGTCAAGTAGGTGAGTAATTGCACAGAGTGTTGGATCCTGAAATGAGCCATTTTCCCTTGCAGTGGAAGTCCAACATGCATTAACCTAAACCACCTGTGTGTTCACTGTAACTGAATGACCCAGCACATCACTTGGGCTGCCAGGAGAGTTTTTACAAGACACTGTCTCCCATTAGATCTTGGCAAATAACCAAGTCCTGCATCCCCTTCATAGATGTTTGAAAAAAAAGCCTCCTGGTTCTTGTGGTAAGAGTAGGTGTTTGCTCTTGTGTCTTTAGTTGTAAATTCCCCTCCCACATTGCAAGTTTCCCCTCATTATCTGTCCTGCCACTGTCTCCTTCCTGAAATATAGGATTTCTGTAGGATTGGGGTCTGTAATCCTTGCTCACCTGAGGAATATTTGGGAGGGCATTCAGATAAGCCTCTGCAGTTTGCTGAATGCAAAGTGCAGAAAGGTAATAGGGAAAAGAAAAGGATTATATTTTTGCTATTTGACATCACTTTTGGTGTTTTATTCACGAAATGAAAAGGACAGAGAGAAATTTGGGTTTCTGATACTCATTGGCAACATTCAGACTCACTGCAAAGTCATCAGTTACCTGGGATGGATACATAGATCTTGCTGGGATAAGCAACTGCATTTTCACTGTCCTGCACTGCCTCTACCACAGCTGCACTTGCTTTTCCTGCTACTGGAGTACAAGTCATACTGTTTAATATGAGCAAGGCACGGCTAACTGGTCATATTTTAAACCATCTTCCACCTTACTTGAGTTCACAGTTTGGGTTTTGTGTCTTTCTACATTCAGTGAACTCTCACATGTTGAGAATGTCTTTACTATGAACCAGATGAAGTTTGACTGCTTGAAGCCTTTGATTATCAGCTCCTCCTGTGCTGTCAGAACATGGATAGAAGCTTGACAGGCAGTTAACTGTTTGCTGCAGGATTAGTCAGTTCTAGAATAGCCACTGTGGGTAGGATTTTTTTTTAACCGTAATGTGCTTTCTTCCTGGCTTACAGCTCATTTGTAGCAAGCTGATTTCTTACTCTGCCTCACCATAGCTTTTTCTCTTTGAGCTCAAAACACCATAAGAAAATGAGTCAAGCCTTGTCCTGACTGAATTGCAGAGTAGTCCACTGAATTCAGCACCATCTTTACAATGGCCATGGAATAGCAAACATATCTGTAGGTATAAGGAAAGTGAGAAGAGGTACAAAAAACCTCTTTTCTAAAGCAAATTCTCAAAAGAAAGCTCTGAAAAACCCAAATGCTTCAGATCTAACATGTTTGCTCTGTTTAATTGAGCCTTGATCTGCAATGCATTGAGAGAGGAAAAACCAGTTGGCCTGGTAGGTCAGTGACAGCACTAATTCAGGGGATCCCTGGGCTGTCCAAGCAGGTGAGGAATTGTGCTCCTTCCTTTCACAAGATGTATTCCAGCTCCTGCTAAATCCAAAACCTTTATTTGAAGAGCATGCAGAGAAAGACAAGTGAAATTCAGTTTCTGTCTCCCTCCAGTTGAACAGTACACTGAATCCAGTTGAAGAACTCCTTGTGTTCAGCAAAACCAGTTGCAAATTACTAGTCTGGAAACACAATTTCTCTGTCTCAAACAGTCAAGGAGTCAGAGGGGAAGGAAAATATCGGTGCAGGCAAGAGAAAGGAGGTGGGATTGCATCCTTGGATGGCAAAGAGCCCCCAACCCTGGTGGTGTTCAAGGCCAGGCTGGATGAGGCCTTGAGCAACCTGATCTAGTGAGGAGGTGTCCCTGCCCAGGGCAGGGGTTTGGGACTGGATGATCTGTAAGGCCCATTCCAACCCCTAAATTCTGTGATTCTATAGGATTGGCACAGCTGTAATGGACACATATTCCCACTTTGCCCATCTACTCTTAGCACAGACCCATCCAGTCAGAGTTTCCTCAGAATCAGAGAGAAGGATAAAGACCTGCTGTCCACCACAACTGGTTTCCTCACCCCCACCCAGCAATACTTCCATGATCTTCCTTGAATTTTAAAGGCTTTTGAGTAATACCTATTAACAAACAGAACTGGAATTGCCACTGGACTCATGACAACACCAGATGTCACTGGGCTAAAACTGATGTTTCTTCTTTGAGCCCCTAAAATGTGGTGAGGGCCAAACTTCCTGCT